TACATGCAGAGACTCAGCTTTCTGGAAAAGGCTTTAATGTTGGAAAAGGTGGAAGGAAAGAGAGGAAGAGGATGACCAGCAGCAAGGTGGATAGACTCAGTTACAGTGGTGATGAGTGCACCATTGGAAGACATGAAAGTCCAAGTTAGGGACAGATCGTCATGCAGAAAATCTATCTACGTGGTCGCTAAGAATTGACAGCAACTTCATGGCAAGTAATCACTTCTCAGCCTTTTGGCCAAGATCAAGTGATGGCACATAATCAGTTATTTGTGTGTGCTGAATTATGATCCACCATTTCAATTTGATTGAGATGGAAAGTACTGTTTATCTCATTTTAATATTTTATATAAATTAACTGTTTTAGCATATCTTTCACCAGAAAGTTATCCTTGTTATTTTCTATGCATTTGGATTAATTTTTGTCAGCAAATGGTTGTCCGATGGTAATTACTCTACTGGTATCATTCAAAGAGTGGATAGTCTGTAAATAAAATGCGTTTTATTTCCCTGTTTTCATGCAGTTCTAGAGAAAATTCTTTAGGGGTTATCTTATGGACATAACTTTTGATGCTGGAAGTAGGAATAATGAGAATGGTGAAAAGCTATGATATAATTTCTTCTTAATATAAGTTTTAGTTCTAATTTATTTTAGACTGGACCAGAATATGGTCAGGGAATGAATCCTATAAGCCGACTGGCTCAGATTCAACAAGCTAAAAGAGAAAAGGAACCAGAGTATCTTCTTCTTTCAGAAAGAGGGATGCCTCGTCACCGAGAGTTTGTTATGCAGGTACCTGCCATTCTGTTCAGATATTTGTTCTTCTCTAAATAAAATAGTGTTCTTTCACAGTAATTATACATATGGCCTTTTGCTGCTATCCATGCAGTTTGATAAAATGAACAAGATTAATAGGCATATGATTGTTTTTCATTTCAAATAACAGGAAGATCTTAATTTCCTCCATTGCAAATACCCTGCTGGTTGGGATTTAATAGCACATTCTTTTCCCTAGTTTGCCTTCTTTCTCTTAATAATGTAACTGCTGTAATATTAAGACTGTATATTTTTGTCTATACATTTCTCTAATGGGAAAAGGAAGCTCCATCAGTATGAATTTTGAAGCTAACTCTGGGGATTCACAGAGAAAACTTCAAAAGCTGCAGTTGGCCCATAAGTCAACAGTCCCTTCTAAGACACATATAATTAATGAACTTTGAACATATCTATGTGTTTGTATTCATGTTCCAAAACATTTAGTTTGGGGTTTTTTAGTTGTATTTGACTTACTTGTTTTGTTATTTTTACCATTTCCTACATGGGCTTCATTTATTTGTTTGTTCAACTTTACTGTTCTTAGATTTTTTTTCAGACAGACCTCAAAGATAGTTAAAAATGTTCATTAGTATAAATAGCCAGAAATATAATTATTTTCCAAACAAAACCTACTTTGAAATGCATTTACTTAGCAGTGAGATTTGCAGATTTTATTAGATAGGCTAAAATTAAAGTTTTACCATCAGGCAGTGCTTAGTAACATATAAACTTTTATACAGATTGATTTTATCTGATTTATATAACACGAATCATAATCTGAGTTCTTCTACAGAAGGAACTCTGAAGCCTCTTGGGTAAGGTTTTCCATTTTGATCACAGTAAGGGGGCTGAAGAGATAGACTTCATTTCCCAGTAAGAAGTCCTGGCCCTGTAATTATTTAAGTAGAAATAACTTAACATAGCTAGCTTAATACAGGTATTAAACAACTCTCTTGTTTGTCCTAAGCATATAAGCCAATCAGTGTTTAATACTTTCATGTCCTGTTGATTTCAGTCAGAGAATTAAGCATGTGTCTTAATTACTCCCATGAAAGTCAAGAAGTAACATGATTTAATGTTGTTGGACACTATTGTTTTTAGTTTGATGGTTTTTAGTAGTTATAAATAAACTTTATGGTTTGAAACGTATAAAACTGTTTTCAAAATATTCACACTAAAATCATGTGATATCTGACAGAAACAAAGTCCTGGTAGATTTATTATTGCCTTCAAAAACTTATCAAAGTAAAATGTCTTTTGTATAAAGTACTTAAACCTTGCTTTCATTTGTTTTAATTGAATGTGGAAGTAAAATATCTGGAGATAATATGTTCATTTTTATCTGTCACACAAAGAAAAGCTTAGATGTGATGAAATGGATCCAATTACTTATGCTGACTGTTAGATAAACAGAAGAAAACCTCTGATGACATTAGTTGAAGTTTTGTTCCCAAAGTTAATTTCAGAAAACTCTTTCTTTGTAGTCAGACCTTTAATCCTTGATAGAGGTTATAATAATACCTAAATCAGCTCCATGGGTCTGAGAAATAGCAGTCCATGCATCAAGCAATGCATTTTCACTTCATTATTTGTTTTAAATGTTATTTTATTTACAGTGCAATCATCAACACATCTGTTAGCAAATATGCCCTGTTGAATTCAGTGGGGATTATTCTCTGGTAGCTCATAATTCAGTTTATTTGACTATACTCATAATTTAAGACGTTTAATTCTAAACCTGTTAGAATTGTCAATAATAAGTAATTCAGAACCCATTTTAGTATATCTAAGCATCTGAATTTGGCTATTACATAATTAATAAATAGAAAAGTAATTGTATTTTATTTTTTAAAACCTGTATTAATTACATGAAAAGATTTCTCATTTTCTCACAAACTATATACTTTTGAGAATAGATACCTAATTAAAATTAATTCAAAATCACAATGATTATATTGATTGTTGTGTTGCCTCTGTATTTACCTCAATTCAATCATAATAAATCTGCATATATAATATGCTGCATATATAATATGCTGTCACCTCTTCTATCTCTCCCTTGTCATAATAAATCTGCAAGATATATTAGGTTGAAAGAGTTTAAACACAGGTTAAGAGGTTAAATACAAGAATTTAAACACAGGTTTTTACTTTCCACCTCTAATATTTGGTCCATGTACCACACAGGCTCAACAGAAAATAAGAAGTGCACCTTCAAAAACATATTTAGCTTCTGGGCAGTTGCAAGTAGTCTTTGAGTTACAACCACTCATTCAGCAACCGTTCAAAATTGTGATGGTGCTATATGAGGGAGTTTTACAACCAGTCCATGAAGTTGTGGCTGTCGCATTGTCCCCACAATCACATGAACGTGATCTGGGTGCTTGGGTGCCCGGCTCACAATTATGATATTCCAATGAGCCGCGGTCATGTGATCGCCATTTGCAACCTTTCCTGCTGGCTTCCCACAAGCAAAGTCAAGGTAGGGAAGGTCACTAGTCACTGCCATGTTGCTTCTGTTGCTTTTTCTCCCAAGAAGCCCCACTACAGAGTACGAGATCCCAGGGGTCTTGTACTCTGTCCCACCCACCCACACTCCATAGCATTCTACTGTCTGCCCACACTCTGTAGTGTGCACCCACCTGCAGCACCCACCCTCCCACCTGCCTGCACTCCCTCATGCCCACCTGTGGCCCTCGCTGGCCCTCCTGTGCTCCCTAGCACCTGTTCCACAACACCCATGGCATCCACGCAGCCCCCAGGCTTTGTAGCGCCTGTTCCCGGCACCTTTCACCCCCCGGCACCCGCACACACACCCACACTCCTTGCCTGGGACTCCCACCTCTTCCTGCTTAACGACCTGCACAATACTGAGGTTACAACAGCAACTGGGGCTGCTGGGATTGCCATCGCTAAGCAAGCACTCATGTGTCATTGTGCTTTATGACTGCATCACTCAGCAATGGCAATCCGGGTCCCAATTGCTGTCATAACCCGAGGACTACCTGTACAAGTATTGAGAGTTGTTTTCATTCCTAGCTATAATATGCTGTCACCTCTTCTATCTCTCCCTTGTCTACGCCTATATCTGTTCTCTACCTTCCTTCTGGTTTGAGGCAGATCATAATTTATTACGTGAGCCAGGATTAAACACTTTATTATTATCATTGTTATTGTTATATTCTGTCTTTTCTCTAAGAATGAAGGTGTCATGTAGGAAAGGTGTTCCTTAAGTTTATCCCTGCAATCATAACTCTGTAAAGAAATAGATTCGGCTAAGACAAAGTGTCTTGTTTAAAACCACTGTGGAGCTTCATAACTTAATGAGAACTTAAGTCTTTGCAGTCTCAGTCTGACACCCTCATCAATAATATACACTGGTAATTGCCTGATATATAATGTGAGAAACAAGACCTAAATAAAAATTCCTCAGGTATAATTGCCTTGTGGTTCCGCAACAAAAGTGGAATGGCTAAGAGTATTATTAAGGTTGTTATCTTAATGACCAGTGATACAATGTTTTTTTTATTCATTTTACTAGGTTAAAGTGGGACATGAAATTACAACCGGAACAGGTCCCAACAAGAAAATAGCAAAACGGAATGCAGCTGAAGCTATGTTGTTACAGCTTGGCTATAAAGCCTCTTCTCCACTTCAGGAACAGCCAGAAATGGTAAGGGTTTGTTCGGCTACAGGAAGAGAAATGCCTCATGCTCCTTAAGTATTTGTTTTCTAAATGTACTCAGTCCAATTGCTGTCAGATCATGGTACAGTTATTTGTTGGGCTATATTTAGTTGGGTTATAGTGACCCAAACAGCTTGGCAGTAGTAGCTAACACTACCCCTAATAACTGCATTCATGCAGTTTTCTTGGCAGTGTTCTTCTGGGATGTTTACTTCTCAGTTTAGCCAACATGCCTGGAATTCCCCCATCCAAGTACTAATTAGGGTTGATGTTGCTTAGCTTCCCAAATCAGTAGAGGCTGGCTAGGTGTGCTAAAACAAAAGGTCCTTCTTTGCAAATCAGAAAACCTAGTTTTTATGCATACATGTTCTTATTTAGTTTTTTGTGATCATTTGTTTTCAGAGGTTTATTTTATGTTAGGTCTATAAATGCTATAAAAGGGGTGGGAGAAGGATATTGACATAAGGCCTTCCTTGTCACCTGAACATCTACTATCTATGTATTATCAAAGCACAGAATAGAGTGCTAAATCAATAACCATGAAGTTGAGAATAAAATATCTCATATGGAGGGATCACACACACACAGTATTAACAAATGCTATACAGTATAAAACTAAAGAGACAAAAACATGATACGGTTATTGCCTTCTGCTCATGTGTGGGCTTCCCTTAAGCATCTGATTGGGCACTGTGGGAAATGGGATGGTAGAAACACATACCATCCAACTGTTCTCATTGAGCAATCTTGTGTCCTTATTTTTGAACCATCCCACCTATGTATGCATAAATAATATTTAATAGTGATTGTATGCATGTTTCATATTCTTTCTATATTCTTATATATATTATCAGCTAGGAGAGATCAAGGGGTGGAATGGTCAAAATGTTGGATATCCTGAACCAAAAAGTACCAGTAAGTGAAACATCTGTATTCATCCACTTTTCCATCATCTATGTAAAAAAATATAAATAAAAGATGTAAGAAGATGTAATAATGCAAATGATGTAATAATCTTTTTAAAAATAAGAAATTAATATTTTAATTAATAATTATTTCAACAAAATTATGGATAATGTTAATTTGTTCAGAATCAATTGAATATATTTACATTTTTTCTGATGTTTCCATATATGCAGTTTTTTGAAAAAGATAACTGCCTATGCTTTGCTTACATGGTACCTCAGAATATTTCTCTTTTTGTTTTGGAATGTATTCATTTTTATACCAAAAGCCTGATTTTTCCTTAATTCTCTATTTTAATCAATTGATTTTTCATCTGCTTCATGAATGTATTGTCTGATTAATTGAAGATAAGAAGAGAGTGTCAACCTACATAAAGTTATCAGTGATGATTATGCAGCTCAAGGCTCATATGTTTATAATGTCTTTTTGCTTCTGATAGTAGGCTTATTTCCTGCTTATGGACTTCTTTTGGGTACCTGATCAGCCTTGGTGTGAACAGAATATTGAAGTTATGTAAGACTTTGTTCTGAACCAACCTGGTTCTTCTTATGAGGGTTTCATAGTGTTGCACCCTGTAAAGTAATGGTTTCTATAGATTTTATGTAAAATCATTTGTGAGCCATTCATGGAAGTCTCTTACCTTTTTCAGGACCAGCTATATAATAAATTAAGTAACTTTGGTTCTTAAGTTGGAAAATATTACAAAAAAGTTATATATATACATTTTGAGGCATGAACTGCTTTTAAATATTCAGTGAAGTTGGTGGGTTGGATCCATACTGAATAATACTTAGAGTAAATATACTGAAGTAATCAAATTTTAGTTAATGTCTGATGTTATAACTGTGTTATGCCCAATTTATTTCATTGAGTCTACTCACTAGAACTAAGTCTGGATCCAATCCTGTGGTTTTTAGAAACTGAGGAACAGAGTGATTGTCCTACAGAAAAAGGAGCATTTATGGTGTATTTATTTTATTTATTTATTAGGTTTATATCATGCCATTCCTACAAGAATTTAGCAGGACTCCTCTAGCATAGTTGCTCCCTCAATGAAAGACTGGATTGAGAGTTAGTGATTAGCCCAAAATGACTCAGTAAGCTTCCATCAATGAATGTGAATTTAATATTGGATCTTACATTAAAATCCTGTTGAAACTCTATAGAAGAATGGCTTGTATGCACCTCCTGTGGAAATGAAAGTGAAAAATGAAGGTTAGGAGCATTATAAGCGTATCACTGCCCAGATTAAAGACAGGATATCATATACACCCATACATATAGGAACAATTTTAATGAGATAAATAAATATCAGGTGCATGACTTGCAACTCCAAGGACGCATGTGGCACCACAGCCTTGAACGAAGTCCCGTAAGCTCCCCAAAATGAACTCAAATTGGAATCTTTAATGCAACAGAAGTAGAAATGGTTTTATGGTTCTGTTGTTTTATTGTTGCTGTGAGCCACCCAGAGTTATGCTTTAAGATGAGCAGCCATACAAATCTTTTAAATGAATGAATGAATGAATGAATGAATGAATGAATGAATGGTTTTGTGTGTTGGGAGTATTTGATAGCTGTGTGCATAAGCTTGATATAAACTCTGAGCTTAGAACAGAATGAGGCAATTTCAAGTGGTTTTTATTTCTTTTGAGGCAGGATGGAAGTTTCAACTTGTCCCTAGTTCAAAATCCTTTACAGAGTTCCACTTGCTTTCACCTTGGGAGATGAGTCTGCTGGCTGGAATGTGCTTTTTGTTTTTGTTCCTACTTTGCTTTGCTTCACTTTGTTTTAGCTATTGAAACTAGTAGTCCTTGATGAGGAAGGGTATTCTCAGATCCAGTGACTGACTGGTTAGTCTGCAAAATATGAGTGATCCTTGCAACCAGCCTACTGTTGCTTGTGCCATCACTGTTTCTTGGGAAATAGAGTTGAAAGAAATTTAGAAAGGTTACTCATGTGTTTCCCTTACTGTTGCCCCTCAGAAGTTATAAATTTTGTGACTGTCTTATTTACCTAACTTAAGGACTATATCTTTTTTCATGTTCTTTACCCTTGCTGATCAGCAGCACTCTTTACATCTACACAAAATCCTTTAAGCCTGTCTTCCAATAATTCATTGCAGATATTTCTGTTTGTGCTGCAAATTTCATTACACTGTTTCTCAAAATAAAGTTATGATCATTAAAAAAAATTAAAGGCATGTAGCCTTACTGTAGTTCAATAAGACTCTGCACCAATTTCTGTGACATTTGCTCATGGTTTATCTATGTAAAATATTCTAACATCTCCGAAAATGTCATCATACTCTGATAAGAAGTGGCATTATAACCATTTATTTATGTTTTTCCCATGTTAGATAATGAAAGGGTAGACTTTGGGTTTCCAGAATAATGGAGAACCCAGACTGGTTGAAATGAATGAACCAATGTGCAGCTTTTCCCACTGAGAGTTCTGCTTTGAAGCAGGTCAGGCTGTCCTTGTACAGTCCTACTGTTTAGTTTCTGTTCTGTCTCATTCCAGTTTTTGAAAAGTGGCCAGTTTTTATGCAAAGCCCAAATGTAGCTCTTGGTCTGACAGCTTATTCAGCTCTGCAGTGGAAACAATCCAGATGTTTTCATATCAATAGTTAACTTAAGTATTGTAAAATCACCGTTTACTGACCTGAATGCAGGGGAAGAAAAAGTACGTACATTCCCGCTCTCCATCTTGCAAAACCTATTGGGACAAAACTATTTAAATACTGAGAATAATTGTATTCTATGGATATTCTATAGCTGGTATTAAACTCCAGGAAGGCCTTATCTTTAGAGAAATAACTATCTCATAGGGAAATGTTTGCATGACCCACTTGACCCAGTTAGCCACTGACCCAATCCCATCTCATTACTGATGGTTATGGCAGCATATGGTCATACCAGTTGGATCAGAAGTTGCCAGTTTGGAACAACAGACTCCTTTGCTTGCTTTCTCCTGCAAGTTCCCAGTATCCCATGAGTCTTTGCACTAAAAGAATATTGGCAAGATTTCATTACACTACCAGCCTATTCCCCATTGGTCAGGCAGGAAGCAATGGATACAGTAGAAAGTACAAATAGTTGTTGTTGTTTAGTCGTTAAGTCGTGTCCGACTCTTCGTGACCCCATGAACCATATTGCGCCAGGCCTTCCTGTCCTTCACTGCCTCCCTGAGTTT